AAAGTCGGGTGCAGTGGCTCACACCTGTAATCCCAGCACTGTGGGAGGGTGAGGAGGGAGAATTGCTGGAGCTCAGGAGTTCGAGACTCGCCAGAGCGAAAGTGAGACCCTGACTCATGAAAAAAATGGAAAAACCCAGCCAGGCACCGCGGCGAGCACCTGTAATCCCAGCAGGTTCCTGAGGCTGAGGCAGCGGGATGCCCACAAGCCAGGAGATGGAGGTTGCAGTGAACTACCAAGCCGCTGCACTCTGCTCAGGGGCACAGGGTGGGACTCTGTCTCGACAAAAAAAAGAAAGAAAATGGTAAAATTTAAGACTTACAACCAGCTAAATTGATAATTATATTAAACATAAATGGACTAAACATCGCAACTAAAAAGCAGAGATTTTTCAGTCTTGATTAAAAAAAAGCAAGACCTAACTATATGGAACTTACAATAAATACATTTTAAATATAAAGGCACAGAGGTTGAAAGCAAAAAGGTGGAAAATGATACAACATGCAAACACTAGGCATAAGAAAACTGTTGTTACTACACTATTATAAGAAAAAATAGATCTTGAAAAAGAAAAAGAGACTGATTTCATAATGATAAAATACTCAATTCATCAAGAAAATGACCATAAATGTACATAAACCTAATAACAAAGCTTCAAAATTCCAGAAATGAAAATTTCTAGAACTGAAGGGAGAAATAGTCAAATTCATAATAAAATGTGAAGAATTTAATCTTCCACTAGCAATAACATAAAACAACCAGACATAAAAACTCAAGAATGGAAAATATTTGTCCAGGTGTGGTGGTTCATGCCTGTAATCCTAGCACTCTGGGAAGCTGAGGAGGGAGGATTGCTTGAGGTCAGGAGTTCAAGACCAGCCTGAGCAAGAATGAGACCCCCTTCTCTACTAAAAACAGAAAAATTAACTAGGCATGCTAGCAAGTGCCTATAGTCCCATCTACTCAGAAGACAATAGAACAAGACTCTGTCTCAAAAAGAAACAAAGAAACAAACGAAAATAAACCTTAAGGAAAAAAAAAAGGAAGCAAGCTATAGAGTGGGAGAAAATATTCAAAACATATATCTAACAAGGAAATCATATCTAGAATATATGAAAACTTCATAAATCTTAATAAAAATATAAAAAACCCAATAAAAATGGGCAAAAGACTTGAATAGACACTTGACAAAAAAAGATATATAAGTAGCTAAAAATTATAAAAGGGTAATCAGCACTATCAGCCATTAAGAAATTAAAATTAAAAGCATCATAAAGTAACTCTTCATACCTACTAGAAATTATAAAGATGGGCAATAAAAAATGTCAGCAAGGCTGACAAATGTCAACTATGCTACATTGGTGAGTGTGAAACTACACTGGAATGCTGCTTGGCAGTTTTTTTGAAAAAAAAAAAAAAAAGGTCTGACCTTTGACCACCCAGCAATTCCCTTCCAGGAGAGGTGAAGGATATAGCCACTATATATATATATATATATATATATATGCCATCTTATTCCTAATAACTCCAAATAAGAAATAACCAAATTTCTATCAGCAGAACAGATTACAAAAAATTTATATTTGTATAAATTCACAATGGAATATCACTCAAGAAACAAAAAAGGATACATGCAACAACATCCATGAATTTTAAAAGTATTATGTTCAGCAAAAGAAATCAGACTCAAAAAAGAATACACTGTATGCTTCCATTTTTAAGAAGTTTAAGAACAATACTAATTTCTGGATGTAGATCAGAACACTAGTTGCTTTAGAGCAAAAATGGCAGAGTTGACAGGAAGGGGTATAAGTAGGGTGACCAGACGTCCCGATTTTGGTGGGAGAGTCCTGCTTTTCAACAATTTGTCCCACTTCCTGTGACATTTTTAAGTCCCGATTTTTGGAAAGAATGCACGAACGGGCTGGAGAACAAGAAGGGAATATACAGTTTTCGGCTGCCATGCGACTATTTCTCCAGAATATGAGTTTTATATTATTTTTGTTAATTTTATAATGTTAAACTGTAATAACAAATAATTGCTGAGATGTGATTATCAAGAACTGCTTATCAAAGTTTGCATTGTTGTCAGGCCCTGCCCCCCACCCCCGCCATGTTGTCCTGCCTTACAGATGTTAAAATCTGGTCACCCTAGGTATAAGGGAGGTTTCTGGAGCAATGAAAATGTGTACTGAATGAGATGATGCTTACTTGTATGTATGCATTTATCAAAATTCAATTATCCTGGCGGCACCTGTGGCTCAAAGGAGTAGGGCACCAGCCCCATATACCAGAGGTGGCGGGTTCAAACCCAGCCCTGGCCAAAAAAAAAAAAAAAAATTCATTTATCTGTGAATAAATAATCCACAACGGTGTCATAAATGCACCCTTGATCTGTGCATTTTATTGTCTATTGTAAATTTTACCTGCAAATAAATAGTATGAATGAATTTATTATGTCTACATCTGTTAGTAAACTTAATTGAAAGCAATGGCTTCCAACCAAGGATAATTTTGCTCTCCCCAGGGACATTTGGCAATGTATATAGACATATATTTGGGGGCCTGAGATAATTTTGAATCTAACTTTTAAAGTTTTGTATGTATAATAAATGTATACATATTTTTATGTAAAAGCATATTTTGGATCATTGGAATAACCACTTTACAATTGAGCATTTCCACTCGTTTCAACGGTTCACTTTCAATTGTTTAAGATTATGTTAGCAATATATACTAATTTAATTTCTATGAACTAATGTCAAAGAAAAGATTCTGAAAAGATGAAATTGATTCTTACCACCATCTGAAGACCAAATCAAGTCAGGGATAAAGAGATATTTTAAGTAATCTGAGTACAGGAAAACAGTGAGCCAAACTGAGTTTTCAATTGAAGTTTGGCCAATTTAAAAGAATCTATGCAGCACCTGACAATCCATAACTTGTGTTCTGAAGGACGTTTTGCTTCCGTAAATAATTTAATGTTGTTAATTTAAATGTTACTGACTAGTTGGAGCTGTGGAATAAAGAATGCAAAAGGCTTTGAAGGAATTTACCTTTCAAAATGAGATATAAATTTGATCTTTCTTCTCCATTATAAAATATTCAATAATATCTATTTGTTCTTGCTAATGCTTTTGGCACAAGTGGATTTTCTAAAGGGGGAGCACTAAGAGGTACTGAGGTTACATCAAGGTTGATGAGGATGAAAATAAAGACCACCACGAGGGATAACTGGACATCTCTGGTTTACACTTAAAGAATGTTTATTGAGGCCGGGTGCAGTGGCTGTAATCCTAACACTGTGGGAGGCCGAGGTGGGTAGATTGCTTGAGCGCACAAGACCAGCTTAAGCAAGAGTGAGACCTCATCTCTAAAAAAATTAGAAAAACTAGCCCAGTGTTGGCATTGCAGCAAGCACCTATAGTTCCAGCTACTTGGGAGGCTGGGCAAGAGGATCTCTTGAGCCCAAGAGACTGAGGTTGCTGTGCATTATGATGATGCCTTAGTACTCTACTCAGGGCAACCAAGTCAGACTATGTCTCAAAAAAAAAAAAAAAAAGAAGAAGAAGAAGAATAGAATACTTACTGAATAAGTAAACCAACCAGGGCCCTGTTGAGCAAGAGGCATTCAGAGGGTTGTGTTGGGTGAGTCAGTATCACTGGGTAGGCAAACATTTGTAAGAAGTAAACAAAAAATCAAACCTGCTTGTCACCTGTGAGTCCTTCCAAGGAACCGGATGTAGCTCTCCACCCTTACTGGCATCTGGCACAGCTGAAGACGAGGACAAACACTCCCTTTAAACAGAAATATTTCAAAGTACACAATTTTAGACTAGGCTACAGTTACCGTTCTCATATTGAAGTCAAAAGCAATAATGAAACAATTTTAGGTCAAGGGGTTAAAGGTCTCTGATAAACCACCTCTGATAAGTTGGGAAAATGTGTGCCCATATTTTTGTATATATAGTGGTAAAGAAAGACATCGCCATAGCTAACATTTTCCAAAGACAGAAATCGAAAGGAGATGTGCAGCAATGGGATCATTTAAGACTTCTGTTTTCATCTTGACGCTTCACCTTCTAAAGGGGGCCCTGAGCAATTCGCTCATTCAGCTGAACAATAATGGCTATGAAGGCATTGTCATTGCAATTGACCCTGACCTACCAGAAGATGAAACACTCATTCAACAAATAAAGGTAAGCTCAAAATGGTAATCATCCATGCTTTTTCTTAAAACAAAAAGTTTAAGCAGAATCTTGTGCTAGCAAGTTCTCTTGTTCCAGCTGCATGACACTGGAAAGTTATTTTATGTATGTGTGTCAACTTCTTCATCTGTAAAGTGGAAATAATATCACTTAGCCATTAGGATTCTTTTGAGGGATGAGATAATAAATGCAATCCAGGTAAGTCATAGTTTGACACATTTTTGGCACCTTATAAATGACTTAGTCTATATTTACTGCTGAAGATTATTTCACTGAAAATCATTTAGTTTTACAGTGAGGCTGAGTTAACGACATTTGGCAGATATTGTGAGATGCACAGAGGTCAATTCCTTTGCCTAATTTTCCTATCGGGGCAGAGTCTTTTCAAAGAACACCCTGGAATCTGGCTGTAACACATACAGAGACAGAGTACCAGGGAATAATAAGTATTCGCTTCCTAGGATTTTGTGAGAATCAAATTTTAAAATGCATGAATATAAGGGGAAGTTGGGTGAGAGTATATAATAACACTGTACAAGTTTTTGCATGTTTTCCTTTAATCTAAAACTATTTTGAAACCTTAAAAAAGACTTCAAAAATGTATGCACAGGGGGGCCTGGTAAGAGCTCAGTAAATGGTGGAGATAGCCATCAGTCATCAATCATCAGTCCTCTTTTTATTTCTCTGGAGATAATAGGGTCCTCCACAAAGATTCCTTGCTTTAAGTGGAGGCAAACCCAGAAAAGTAGAGTTTGGAGAGAAAACCATCTCTCTCTGCCAGGAGTTTGTAGCTAAAGAACTGCAGCCGAAGGAGGTGGAGAATGGAGGGGAGGCTTCCCCCCACCATAAAGTATTCCCATTAAACTGAAAGACTCAGAACTGTCTTTGATAAAAGGGACGTTTAGACCTTTTGAAATCTCTCAATAAACAAAAACGTTGAGTGAGTTTTTCTTTATTGTCCCTAAATTGTGAAGTGGGCATCAGCAAAAATTTGACCATGTGTTTCTGTCTCAAGCTACGTGGTGGGGTTCAGCAAGATGCTGAAAAGAGAACATGAGGCCTGATTTCTGATAACACCGGCAATTGGTGTCTACCGCGCGTGATGCTTAGAGCCTCCAAAGTGCTCTCACCTCATTGTCTTCAGGAGTTCTCCCCTTGTGACATGTAGTTCTCACCTCAATTATTAATAAGGTTTCTAGGATGAGTCGCAATGGAGTTGGGTGTAAGATAAGCTGGCTCTACCACTTCCTTCTCTGTACCAAGAACATTTGAAGAGTTAAGTCTGATGGAATGCTCAGATTCCCCGAGTAGTCGGTAAAAGTGAATTCCTATTTGATGTTCGAGATCTGCAGAGGTGAGGGACTTCATCGCGGGCTTGGCCGCCTTTCCTGGCTATCCCTCCCTCTGCTCCAACAAACTGTCTGAGAGCAGACTGTGCTACTGCTGCCCTGTGGGGACAGAAGCCTCTGAATCAGCTCTTTACCTATTTACTCCAGCAGGACAGTCCCCAACATTTCCCCACCTACAAGGCCCATTGACAGCACTATCACAGTTGCATGCACATCACTTTGCCTCTGTTAGTTGTAGAAGCAGTGGGAGCACACCTAACAGGATGAGGGAGGGAGAGTGGGGGGAGAGTGTTCTCTCTCTCTCTCTCTTTCACACACACACACAAGAAGATACACAACAGAAATATTTTGGAGTGCCCTCGATGCACTTGCGCACAGGAGCCCTGTCTCAGCTCTGCCGTACCAGTTTGGCACTTATCAGAACCATTTCATTCATCCATTCATTCATTCATTCCTTTAACAAATATGTACAGAGCATCTATATCATGTCAGGTACAAGGAGTCCAGTGATGAACAATTTACTATCGCTGTCTGTAAGGAATTTCTAGTCCATCCTATAAGCTGTCACCACACCCCCTACTTTTTCTCAGCCTGAGGGTTTAAATGTCTGTTTGGATGTGAGGTCACCGAAATCTGGAACAGGTGCCAAATCAAAAATCTCTTAATATTGTTTCTCTTGGAACATGGACAATAAGTGCTTTGGGAACATTGAAAACTCACACTTCACAAGTCAAATTGTACACAAGTCAACATGTGAATAATACTCTTAACATAGGAAGTTTACACCTACTTTTCAACTCTTGGTGATCTTGACTCAGTTTTTTATTTTAAAAAATGACACAATGTTAAACTCTTCTTGTGATTGTTAAAAATCTGGAGTTCTGAAAGAGAAAGATGAAAATCAGTTACTTTTTAAAAATTAGTTAGGCAACCATTATTATCACTATTTGAAAGGGGGAAGCAGGCGCAGGGAGATAAATTCCTTGGTTTATCCCAGTTAGGAAGTGGGTGGGATTTACTCTTTCACCAATATCCAGTTCCTGTTTCCCTATAAAATGATGAACTGTTTCTGTTCTTAAGTCCAACCCCTTCTGTGTTCTGTTCCAACAAAGACTTTCCTCTTGTAATTAATTATCCTTGTTTTCTTATACATTATCGGTTTTTTCCCATGAGCACAGAAACCTAATAGTTTCCATTTAAACAAACAAAACTTTGTTGTCCTAAAGTCCTCTTCCACCTGTTGCCTCATTTCTCCACCCCCTCTAATCTGTAGAAGAACTTGCTGGCCCTTCCTTACCTCCCACTCCCTTGAATCCACTTGAAGCCTCCTTTCTGTTAAAGTGGCTCACCCACGCTGCCCAATCCATAGATCAGTTCTTAGTCCTCATGTTAAGGATTGCTCAGCAATGTTGGACCTTGATGATCATGCCCTCCTTCCTACAACACTCATCCCACAGCTTTTGATTTCCTTCATGGGCACCAACAAGTCCTTCTGAGGCTCATTCTCTTCTCACTTCTAAACCCAGCACCCTACCCCCATGGCTTAGTCTTCACCCTCTTTTCTCCTCTGTCTACGCTCCCTTTTGAGGCCACTGGCTTTCAGTCCTAACAGACTCAATGCCTCTTGATGTTTTAACTCTCTCTTGATGTTATTTTATCATAATGCATCCTAGGGGATTGGGGCATTTATAATTTATCACAATAACTCTTTCATTTTAATTCTCATTCTTAGTTTCTCCTCAAAGGTTTATTGATCCCCAAAGGATCAAATGAAATAAAACTTATAGATAATTTTTTTTAGCTAACATTGAATAAGCACTGACATTATTCCTAAGTAAACAGTATTCCTAGTGCATCCCATGTTTGACCTTCTTTGTCCCTCAACACAACCTTATCAGCTAATCACTAAATATTTCCCATTTTATAAATGGGGAAACTGAGGCTCAGAATTATAAACTACCTACTGTCCCAGAGTAAATGGTGAAGCCAGGATAAAGTCTACCTGTACAGTCTGCGTTGTTAAACATTACTCTGTGATACAGAGTATGTGGTAACTGTTCCAAAAGCTTAGCTATTATTATTTAGAAGTATTTCCACATGTCCCCTTCCCATCTTGACACATAACTAGTCTTTGGAAATGTGAAATATAGATGTAAATTTGAATGACTAGTAATCTAATCTATTTTTTGTCATAATTGTTATGTATGTTCTTTTTTCTTCCCAGGACATGGTGACACAGGCGTCTCCATACCTGTTTGAAGCTACAGAAAAACGATTTTATTTCAAAAGTGTTGCCATTTTGATTCCTAAAAACTGGAAGACAAAACCTGACTATGTGAGACCAAAACTTGAGACCTACAAAAATGTGAGAATATCAAGTTCTTCTTTCAAATTCAGTTTTCTTCTGGAACTCAGATTTTTTTTTTAAATCAAAATACTCTAGAATCAAATAAAATTGCTTTAAAATGAATAAGGTTAATTCATTTGCTGAAATTTGATGACAATAAAAGGTTTTTCTTACATTTCAGGCTGATGTTCTGGTTGCTGCACCTAATCCTCCAGGTAACGATGACCCCTACACTGTACAGATGGGAAAGTGTGGAGAAAAGGGTGAAAGGATTCATTTCACTCCTGACTTACTCGCAGGAAAAAAGTTACGTGAATATGGACCAATAGGTATGAAATAGTCTATATTTCTCATAAGACTTAACTATTTTATGTTAAAAGCGGAAGAACAATAGCGTTATCTTTGTGAATAAGCACATACAGTACAAATAAACTATTAAGAATAAACTAATAGAACGGGTTTTTTTACTTAGAATATGCTTCTTATTTAGAATTTGTAGGTAGAATTTCTAAGCTTGCAGTTTAATTTATCATTTTGAATACCTGTAGAAATGTAGTATTTGTAAATTTTATGTTACTATAGTACCATGTTATAATCATAAAATCGTTTTATATGTTATAAGTTTCTATGGTTCTATAATGATACTCAACTGAATGAAACCCCTGCCTGCAATTCGTGTGGTAGCCACCAGGTGGCGGATATGTACAGTCTCAGACACTCAACGTGCATTCAAATTATCAATAGATCTTGTTAAAATGGGAGTTTGGATTCAGTAGGTGTGCAGTGGGACTCAAAAATCTGTATTCTTAGAATGTAAAACAATAGACAATGGAGACTCAGGGTGGGGGTGTGAGGGGCTGAATAGTGGTATGTTGCTTGGTGGATTGCTTCAGTGATACACGGACTGAGGGCTCTCTTCACCTCAATGTAATATTATCAATGCAGTAAATTACACTTGTACCCCATGAATATATACAAATTAAAAATAAATGGGCAAAACCATGAATATATACAAATTAAAAATAAATGGGCAAAAAGGAATCTACATTTTTAATAAGCGCCCAGGTGCTGTTGATATACCTTGCATAACGAAGTATCCTTCCACTGCCAAAAACCTGCCATCAAAGAAAAAAGTCCAGCCTTTCTTCGCAAAATAAACTGTCTTTGCTATATGAGCTACATAGAGCAGTATTTGAAGGGAATATTAAAGGGTGTATTTGTAAAATGTACTTTCCAAATGTGATTAGTTATTGAATAACTAATATTAGAATTCTTATCTCAGAAAAAGATTTGGATCCTTCAGAACCAGTTTGATTTTATTTAAACACATAAGGCAGAGAAAACAAGCAAGCAAAAAAAAAAAAAAAAAACTGTCACCTCCATGCCCCACAGTCAAATATAACCCAAGAACAATTAAAAACCTTATCAGAAAGAGGTGTCAAACCTACCTCTTTGTTATTCTGTAACACTCCATTTCACTTTAGTAATAGGAATAGAAAATTCCCGATGTCTGGCTCAACAAATATGTGCTGAATGATTCACCTAACTGCCTTGTCCTACTCCTGAGTCCGTTCCAGCCATCACAATCACGTGTAATGTCACTCCTTTGTGTCTCCTTTGGACACTGTGCCTCCTCTCATGCTCCCTCAAAATCTTTTCTTATCTTTAAGAGAACATCAGTCTACTGGAAAGCAGACTTTCCAATTTATTTTAAATAAAAGGATAATACATTATATCTGGCACCTACGGAATAAAAGTAAATCCTTTGTGTGGGACATTAAAGTTTCCTTAGTAAGCCCCTTTTCACATAACCCTCCAAAATCAGCCCCTCTTGGAACTTACATTCTGGAAAAACTGAGCTGTACCTAGTTACTCAGGTTACTCAGGTTTCATTCTAACTTAACAAAGATCACTGAGGCCTGTTAAGTTCTAAACTCTACGTGCCCAGATATGACAATGAAGAAGTTGTACCATCTGCCCTCCTGGACACCAGTGTCTAGTGTGGGAGACCGGCCAGGAAGCAGCAGTGACAATTTAACATGATAAGTGCCTAACAGGAGATGATGTAAGTGAGCGGAGCACCTAGCTGGGTCTGAGTATGGGCAGGGAGGATTCTAGGTTAACAAAAGCTTAATTTTGAAAGAAGAATAGGAGTCATCCAGGCAGAGATGGGGAGAGGGTATTTCAAGCAAAGGGGAAATATGCAAAAAGGACCAGAGACGAACAAAATTGGGGTGCAAACTGGAAAGTAAAGGAGTTCAGAAATTCATCGCAATGATGGAGTTTTGGAAGTGGGTGGAGAATAACAATAGCTAAGGCTGTACAGAGGAGCAGAGCCTGAATTACCAGGGACTTTGTACACCAGGTTGAGAAGTCGGACTTAACCCTGAGCACCAAGGGGAAGCCCCAAGGGCTGGAGACCAGGAGGCTACTGCAGTAAGTCAGGAGTAAATGGCAAGGCAATGCAACTGGAAAGGCAAGAATGGATCAAAGCAAACAGGCAGAAGTGGAGTAGGCAGGCCTTGAGTTTGATCAGATACGAGCCATGAAGGAGAAGGGCCTACTGGGTGCTGCCCTGCAGCTCTGTGGAGGCCTCTGCTGCCCCAGCAGCCTGCGCTGACCTCCATCACACTTGCATTTCTGTTATCTGATCATGCTTGTCCTCCACTAGGCCATGGGCTATTGAGGGCAGACAGTTGTTTCACCTTTGTGTGAATAACCACCTGGCACTTAGGAGGCACCTGATTAACATTTGATGAACCAATGTACAGTTGTCATATTAGATCTTTCTAAAAAAATCAAGTCTTTAACTTTTTTTAAAAAAAAATTAACAAAGCATAATAACTCTTCCAAAGAACTGCTTTCTATGTGAGAAGGTGATCTTGCCATTCTTAGTGTAATTAGGTGTTTGAAATATTTTCTCACAGGTAGGGTATTTGTCCATGAATGGGCTCATCTACGATGGGGCGTATTTGATGAGTACAATAACGACCAGAAATTCTACTTATCCAACGGAAAGAACAAACCAGTGGCGTATGTATATTTTGATTTAATTTTTCCCTAATTATTTTCAATTGAACCAATTTTTTTCTTGAATTGATTACTTTAAAAAATATTAGTCTCTTGTCTTACTTTCTACATCTAATAACGTGACCTCCTAGTTCCTTCTTTTTCAGATTTCCACAAAACTGCCACTTTTGCTTACTTTACAAGTACATCAATTAATTGAACTCTTCATTCTTTAGCTATAAATTATTTACATCTTTTTTTCAGTGTACCAACTCTAATAAATGTAGAGGTGCTGGGGTCAGCGTTTCCATCATCTTGGGGTAGAATCAGTGACATAAGCAGACCTGGTGGGGCTCTTGGGGCCTAGAGGGCAGAATGACACCTGTGGACTCTGTCAGGACATATGGGCCTGGGAAGGATGGAACTTATCTGAAAAGTGATCCCAAAATGCTGCCAGCTTGAATTAAACCATGTATGACATCAGCAGAAATCAAACCAAACACTTGGAAAGTACCCTTGGCTGCCATGATTTGACGGGCATGTTCCTGCAAGCTATAGTTTCAGTATGTATAAACTGCTTTAGTATAAATATAAGTGATGGGAAACTTTCCAGTTTATTTTAAAGAGTTAGCATAATTCAGATACTAAAACCCCATAGAAAGAATGAAAAAGAGTTCTGTAGATTCCGCTGACTAAAAAGATAGGGCATAGATTTTAAATGAAAGGATAATAAATTACATCTAGAAGAATTAAGGGAACAACAAACACACTGAGGCCAAGTAGGATGTCTTCCAGAAATCTAAAAATGTTTTAGTATTAGTTAAGTACAGGGTGGCCATAAAGTTCATTTGCAATTTAACGTTCAACTGAACCAATTTTAACAGACCATTTAACTCTGCACATGAACTTTATGTAGTTAATATAGTACACCAAACGAAGAAAAAGAAATGATTATTCTAATACATTCTCAAAAGAAACTTAATAAGAGTATACATTTGTTTCTGAGTTAAAAGACATCCACCTCTTTTTAAAGGATAGAAGTTGGTACCACACTCTCTCCATTTCTGGCTCCAGTCTTGCTTTCCCCATGGCTCATAGAGGAGTAGCACTCAGCTTTGGTTCACTTACTGTCTTAACTTCATACAATTGTTTCAAAAGAGGCTGCACTGGATCTTGGCTTCTCATGTCTCCCAAAGAGCATTACTGCTCCCCATTTTTCTCTTCCTTCCTTCCTTTCTTTCTTTCTTCCTGTCTTTCTGTCTTTTCTTTCTTTCTTATTGTTGGGGATTCATTGAGGGTACAGAAACCAGGTTACACTGATTGCATTTGTTAGGCAAAGTCCCTCTTAAAATTGTGCCTTGCCCCCAAAAGGTGTGTCACACACCAAGACCCCACCCTCTCCCTCCTTCCCTTTCTCTGCTTTTCCCTTCCCCCACCTCTCACAGTGTCATTAATTGTCAGTAATTGAATACATAGGATTTGTGTTTCTCCATTCTCGTGATGATTTACTAAGAATAATGTGTTCCACTTCTATCCAGGTTAATACAAAGGCTGTAAAGTCTCCATTTTTTTAATGGCTGAATAGTAATACATATACTACAGCTTGTTAATCCATTCCTGGGTTGTGGGGCATTTAGGCTGTTTCCACATTTTGGCGATTGTAAATTGAGCTACGATAAACAGTCTAGTACAAGTGTCCTTATGATAAAAGGATTTTTTTCCTTAAGAAAGAAAATAGCAGAGGATATTAACAAATGGAAGAACATGCCATGCTCATGGCTGGGAAGAGCCAACATTGTTAAAATGTCTATACTTCCCAAAGCAATCCACTGATTCAATACCATCCCTATTAAAATACCAACATCGTAGTTTCAAGTCTTGGAAAAAATTATTCTGCATTTTGTATGGAACCAGAAAAAAACCCATATAGCCAAGGCAGTTCTTAGTAATAAAAACAAAGCTGGAGGCATCAGTATACCAGAGTTTAGGCTGTATACAAGGCCATAGTGGTCAAGACTGTGTGGTACTGGCACAGAAATAGAAACATAGATATTTGGAATTGAACAGAAAACCAGGAAATGAAGCTAACATCTTACAACCACCTAATCTTTGATAAACCGAACAAGAACCATACCTTAGGGGAAAGACTCCCTATTCAAAAAATGGTGCTGGGAGAACTGGATATCCACTTGTAAAAGACTGAAACTAGACCCACACCTTTCTCTACTCACAAAAATTGATTCAAGATGGATAAAGGACTTAAATTTAAGGCATGAAATAATAAAAATCCTGAAAGAAAGCATAGGAAAAACACCGTAAGATATCAGCCTGGGGAAAGATTTTATGAAGAAGACTTCCGTGGCAATTGCAACAACAATAAAAATAAACAAATGAGACTTAATTAAAGTGAAAAGCTTCTGTACAGCTAAGGAGACAACAACCAAAGCAGATAGACAACCTACACAATGGGAAAGGATATTTGTATATTTTAAATCAGACAAAAGCTTGATAACTAGGATCTATAAAGAAATCAAATTAATCCACATGAAAAAAGCCAATAATCCCATATATCAATAGGGAAGAAAGATAAATAGAACCTTCTATAAAGAAGACAGACAAATCTCTAGCAAACATACGAAAAATGCTCATCATCCCTAATTATTAGAGAAATGCAAATTAAAACCACCCTGAGATATCATCTACCCCCAGCAAGAATGGCCCACATCACAAAATCTCAAAACTGCTGATGCTGGTGTGGATGTGGAGAGAAAGGAACACTTTTACACTGCTGGTGGGACTGCAAACTAATACAACCTTTTTGGAAGGAAGTATGGAGAAACCTCAAAGAATTCAAGCTAGACCTTCCATTTGATCCTGCAATCCCATTACTGGGCATCTACTCAGAAGGAAAAAAATCCTTTTATCATTTTTCCCTTTCTTTATTGCATTCAAGCTCTGTCTGCTTGGTCCATTCCCATTCTATTACACCTTGTTGTTGTTGAATCTCTTCAGGCAAAAGTAGCCACTGAGCTCACTGCTGCCTCCTAGACTCATGCACAGTCTACCAGATTCCTCTAGCCTGCACACTCAGCTCTTCATGGACCATAGCCCCACACTTCTCTGACGTGATCATAGATTGGTTTGCCCTCTCAAATCTCAGTCTAGGACCACCGTTCTAAAACTGACATCTGCCTTTCCCACTCTCTGGTCTAAGCTTTTGAACAGTCAGGCATTTATTCCCTAAAGAGAAAGACTGATCAGTGCATAATCATTCTTTCTAGAGATACTCTAGAGACAGTTTAGAAATATACACATACACAGCATGATCTTCCTTCCACAGATAAGATAGGATTTCCTCTTTAAAAGTTTATTACAATACACTAATATGTATTGCTCCTCATCCTCCAAACTTTTTAGTTTGTTTTAAGGCCTAAAACCAATTGCAAAAATGACACACTGCCTACAACAGGTTACTTCTTTAAAATGATACAGAACATCTGAAAGCCAATGGTCCCCTCATATTTAATAAGGAAACACTAGAGAGACATTCCCAAGAATAAAATAAGGATGCTACTATGGCCACAATGACAGAACCTTGTTTAGGGAGTTAAACCCAGTGCAAAAATACAGACACTAGGGAGGTAAAAACAAGGGCTGCTGGAAAGGAAGAGAGAAAATGTCTTTGACACAAATGCTATGTGGTCCACTTAGAAAACTCAAGGGAATAAATTGAAATTAAAATTGATAAGGAAAGTCAGTAATGTGACCAGATACAAACTAAATATTCAAATTACTTTTCCACACAGTAGCAATAATCAGTTCAAAAACATAAAGGGAAAAAAAATGCCTCCCTCAAGATAGTAATTAAAGGCATGATCAAAGTAGGAAAAACTACAAAATACAGAAGACATATTTTAAGAAAAGTATAAAATCCTTCTAAAGGATTTTTTAAAACCCACCAAGAAAAATTGAGAGATTTTTAATTCATAGGAGATGTAAATTCAACCAAAATTAATTATACACTTATAGGTTTTATGAAATTCTAATCAAAACTACATCCATTTTGGCCTTGTTTTAAAATCTTACAGTTCATTTAGTAGATAGTATCTAAGCTCATTTTTTAAAAAGTAGTAGTAAAAGGCTTTTTGCTTATCAAATTTAAATATACTATAAAACTACATTAATTAAAATAATATGAACTATTATGAATAATATGAACTAATATGAATAATAAGACCTTTACAGGTATAATTAATTTACTATTTAATGTAGGTAGAATTACAAATCTGTGTAGATTATGTAGAAATAATAAAACAATTTTAACTGTGTGGAGAAAAAATTAATAGACCCTTTTCCAATTGGATAGACTTATTAAAAATAAACAAAATCATAATGAAAACTAGATGATACTTAAAAGTGTCAAATCCCTATATATCAAAATTCTTTCTATGCATTTGTGAATTGGGAAAACTAGCTAAAAGAGTGATGACTGTTGATAACTGGCTGCATATAAATTTAAAATGTTGTTGCACACAAGCCAAAAATAAACGAAATAAAAAGGCCAAAACCAGAAAAAGATATTTGCCAAAACCTTTCTAAAAAGCGTTTAGAATCTTAGTATTGTAATACATAAAAAACTTTTGAAAATAAATAAAACAATAACAGCCTAATAGGAAAACAGACAAGGAGAAGACTAAATAATTCACACAAGAAGAAATAAAAATGGCCAATAATGTATAAAAATATTCTTACTAGTAATCAAAGAGATGCAAATTTGACAAAGATTCATTTATTACCTAGTAAGTTACTGTCACTGGGATGAAAGCTCTCAAAAATGGTTGTTAGAAGCATAAAATGGGGCACCTTTTCTTCAAAGCAATTTAGGTGACACATATCAAATCTCTAAAACATTTGATTTCTTAACTCAATGATTTCACGTTCAAAAATCTATTTTAAGAATATGATAGCGATATGAATAGATTTCAAAATGTCCAAACTTTTGAATCTGATAGTTTACTCTGGGAATCAATCATGTGGCAAATTTGAAAACATGGTTAAAACAGTGAAATTTTGTTTATTCGTTGATGTTTTATTTGTAGTGCTGACAAATTGGAAGGGAAAACTAAATTAAGTCGATTAGGTTAAATTCATATTATAGTCTCGAAAGAGGTAAAATCATTAAAACCACATTTTGAAAAGTATTAATATACTAACTTTAAAATAGACTAATATTTTTAAAAGCAAGACACAAAGCTATACTCACATGTGTGATGTTACATGGATACATCGAAAAGGAAAAGCTTCATTTCTAATGTGAGACATGGGGGATTTTTCTTTTCTTTCTTATAATGTCAGTATTTTCCGAATTTTCCATAGTGTTCATCTATCGTGTATATATTCAAAACTGTAATTAAGCAAGAAGATGTGGGAGGAAAGCATTCCAGTTATAAAGCAACATCGCATAATATATATAAAGAAAAATTTTACTCTGCACTCATCCAAGGACTATGCAACACCATATGAAATAAATTAATGAGAAAAGACAAATAGGAAATGTCAGCAAATTTTAGGGGGAAAATAAACAGGGGCTCCTGATTTTCTAAGAATGAAGGGAATAGATACGGATGTACCTGAAGGCTTTGGTCCAGATTAATGCTAACAGCTGCCCTATAAACCAGACTTAGCTTTTCTGCTGCATAAAAATAAATCCCGATACCATTTTGGGAGCCCCTCAGAGACTTCCTGGCAAATTGAAATGACTATGATAAAAAAAAAAGTCATACTTTTTCTACATCACAGTATGTATTTGTTTCCTGGAGTGTAAGAGGAAATCATAGAAAAGCAATCTTTCAGAAAAGAAAGAGCCCTCCCTGAGCTCAGAGTCTGACCCTTGGAAATGATTACATCACCTAAACATCTAACCTTTATATATTTTCAGATGTTCAGCAGCTATTGATGGTGAAAATAAAGTATATAAGTGTCAGGGGGGCAGCTGTATCAAAAAATCATGCAAAATCGACAGATTAACAGGACTATACGAAAAGGATTGCCAGTTTTTACCCAAAACCCACCAGACTGAGAAGGCTTCCATAATGTTTGCACAAAGCATTGGTTCTGTAAGTACACCATTATTTGTTTTTTCTAGCTTCATGAATTTAATAAAGTTTTTACTGCAGGTGCTCCAAGAGAGAATCAAATTCTAGAGAAACCATCAGTGAGCAACCGGTTCTCTGTAGGAAAAGCTGGGAGTCCAAAATCAGGGGTAAAGGCCCATCTTTTTCCCCTTACCCTTCTCACGTCCATTCTGTCTTCTCCATCCTCTTCCTCTCACTCCATTTTAGTTTAAATGCTTAAAATTATTTTAAACCCACTTAAAGGCATACAGGCACACAAATTCTTGCTTACATAACTTGACTAACTATCCATATTGATACTAAATTTATAGAACAATTTTCACAAAAAAAGACTAAACACATCAATTAGCTGACTTTAGTGGGGAGTCCCCTTACATAAAATTATGTCTCTTACATAAAATTATGTTTTACTTTTAGAATGGAGGGTGAAACAACTTTTAAGAGTCCATGAATAATAATTTGGCATAAGTTTTGAAAATATGATGGACCATGATTCACCAGGCCCAGCCTTCAATGTGGCTGTGGAGTCCATTCTCAGACCTATGCAGAAACTTCCATGAGGGGCCAAGATTAAAATTTTCGAATTTCAAATCAGCCACAGAGTTACATTTGAGGAATAGCCAGGCTTGGGAACCTCTGCCTAGGGTTTACCTAAAAGTTTTTCAGGTTCCTTTTCTAAAAAGTAATCAGACTGATAATGGAAATACTACCAAATAGAAAAACCTAAAAATGCAAAGAAAGAGAAAAGTAAGTGTTAAACAGCTGGTGATAACTTTCTAAGTTACCAGAATTCCAGATATTTAAAAATTTGTAATTAAAGGATAATACTGTAAAGTCACTGAGACAAAGAGCTGGATATTTCTCCTGGGTAAACTGTACCTTTTTCTAATCCCTGCAAACACTAGGCATATAAACACTAACAGTGTTATAAGATATAAAAAGGGGAAGGAGCCAGCATTTACTGGCTGTGTTAGAATTGACTGTATTGATGTATGTAATTCTTACATAGTAACTATCATCCTTTCTTAGGTGAAAAAATCTGAAGTGAGGCCAGGCATGGTGGCTCACACCTGTAATTTCATTATTTTCCTGGAAGGCCAAGGTGGGTGGATTGCCTGAGCTCATGGGTTCAAGACCAGCCTGAGCCAGAGTGAGGCCCTACCTCTGAAAATAACCAGGTGTTCTGGCGGGCACCTGTAATCCCAGCTACTAGGGAGGCTAAGGCAAGAGAATCCCTTACACCCAAGAGTTTGAGGTTGCTGTGAGCTGTGACGCCACAGCACTCTACCAAGGGTGACAAAGTAAGACTCTATCTCAAAAATAGAAGAAAAGAAAAAACCTGAAGTGCAAAGAGGTTAAGCTTACTCTAAAAAACAACGAGCTTATATTGAGTTTTTATTATGTATTAGACACTGGGCTAAATTTTAAGGAAGACAAATTTAATAAGATTTCTGCCATAGGTGGACCTCCAGTTCAACACGTGCATTACCGTGTTAAAGGGGCCTTATTAAAGTGTCTGCAGGGTACTGTAGAGGCCACAGCTAGTCAAGTGGAAATTCTTAGGGGGAAGAGTAGAAAATAAGAAAATATTTTGGAAGTAAAAAAAAAAAGAAAAAGAAAATATTTTGGAAGTGACCTTTTGGCTGAAAAATGAAGGTCGAGTTTACAATGCAGAAGACGGGGAAGAGAAACTTCATCATCAAGTGGGTATCATGAGCAAAGGCAGAGAGAGAAAAAAGCCTGCCAAGTCTGAGAACTTACATGCTATCGTGGGGAAAGTGAAGGGCTTAGAATATACAGCCAGAATGAGGATGGAGAGTGGAGAAAAATCCAAATTGTGAAGATTGCCATTTACTGTAGTGTGTGAGCAGTCAAGAGCCACCAAATAGTCTTAAGTAGCAAATAAGATGAGAGACTCCTCAGGCAGCTGCGAATGGGGCCAATTGGAGGGAAAGCAGGAAGGAAAAGTCATATAGGAGACCGCAGTCATTTGAGGGATGGACCATGAGGGCTCAGATGACAGAGATTCCATTAGAGATGGAGAAGGATAATGAAATGTATCGATCCCAGCTCCTCTGTAGGGGGAAGAAGCCAGGAAAACTCTCAGTTTCTTGATTTGAGTGATTGAGCGTGTAGTGGTGACATAAAGTTAGGATATACGTGAGGAAGGAGGGCAGACTGGAGAAAGGTGATGAGGTCAGAAATGGACATAGAGGGTCTGCAGAGCCTCTGAAACATCCAGTGCATTCTGGAGAGAGCTGGAATGTTGGCTGTTGGAAGGTGGGAAGGCTGCATGCTGGTGAGAGGGCAGTGAAGAAGTGGAGTTTGGTGGTGTAAGGATAGAGAGATAAGTTGGAACCAGGAGAAGGCGGCTGAGGGGGCTTTCAGAGAGCAATGATGGCTTGATAGGGCAAATTCAGGAAGTAGGAAAGAAGCCACCTAGGGCCGGTAAGCAGATTTCTGGGGAGCATTAAAAACCCAGTGAGACTGAAGATTCCGTGAATTCCCCTCACAGTGCCATACAGTGATGGTGAGATTGAGCCAAGGTAAGGTTATGGGTTAGCAGAGCGGATTGGGGAGAAGGGCAGGGCATAAAAATACAGTAGAAGCTCCTCAGTCGACCACCTCTCTACACTGACAACCTCCTTAAGTTGACCTACTTTTCATAGACTGGACATGCACCACATGTACGTATCAGCGCAGTCGGCCGAGTACTTCATGTTGGCCACCTCCGTATGTTGACCAGTTTGTTATGTTCCCTTGGGTGGTCAAGTAACCAGAGTTCTACTGTAGTTTAGATGTGGGATTTAAAATGTTACAATCAAATTAATAGCTATTTTAGCAAGTATTTTACCTTTATCATACTATTTTAATGACAATTTCAGGTGGTTGAATTCTGTACAGAAAAAAACCACAATAAAGAAGCCCCAAATCTGCAAAACCAACGATGCAATCTCCGAAGCACGTGGGAAGTGATCCGTGATTCTGAGGACTTTAAGACAACCACGCCTATGACAACACAGCCGCCCACACCCACCTTCTCATTGCTGCAGATTGGACAGAGAATTCTGTGCCTCGTCCTTGATAAGTCTGGAAGCATGGCAGTATGTTCAACAGTCCCTGGTCTTCTGGTTGCTGGTCATAGACCTGAGTCTGATGCACCCTAGACTATGGCTTGAATCCTATCAGGAATGAACACGACTTGAGGGTCAGAATAGTGTGACAATAACGTTGCCTTCATAAGCACCCACCTCAACTTTGTCCAACTAAGATTCAGTATCAACTGTCTCATTTGCCTAATTAAATTTTCAGTATATGAGCAAAATTCTAATAAATTACATAAGCTTAACATTTTCTGTTTCACTGACAATATATCTGTCTATAGGTCTATAGTCCTAAACAGGATTTATCTAGAATTATGACTAAAGCATTGAACTTTAATGATTGTGTAATCTGGTTTTATCTTTAGATATTTATAGAAAAGCCCTACAATTCTGCCCAAAGTTGCTGCTAAATGTGAATGAAAATTTTTCCCCATAGAAGGTTCTATCTTATATAAGCTTGTTGTCATGTATTCTACATTGAGGCTGCCATTCCCAAATTCCTTCTAGCCTGTTATTAGTTATCTGTTCTTTATCTACACCCAACCTGATCGATTTTCTTCTGCTTCTCCTTCTAGAATGATAACCGCCTTAAAAGACTGAATCAAGCTGCCAAACTTTTCCTGCTCCAGACGGTTGAGCAGGAATCCTGGGTTGGGATGGTGACGTTTGACAGTGCTGCCCACGTACAAAGTGAACTCAGACAGATAAACGGTGTCGGTGACAGAGACACACTCATCAAAAGCTTGCCCACAACGTCTTCGGGAGGGACCTCCATCTGCTCCGGGCTGCGATCAGCATTCACTGTGAGACACATTCTTCTATTGTCGTTTTCCAGTGTTTGAAATCTATGTGTCCTAACAAATTTCCATTCCAGGTGTTTCCATTCATGCCTAGTGTCTAAGGCATAACCAAGGGCAGAGCAATGGTTCAAAGGACACAGAGACACAGGCCTCCAAATCTATCGTTAACTCATTTATGTTTTTGTGCTTTTCTGAATCAGGGCGCTCATGCTTTTCTGTGTGTATTCCTGCAGTCGGAATATTCCTGGTGTGTCTTCCACATGCCACGTTCTGTGCTAGGCTCTGAGAATATCATAAGGGCCAGACAGGCCCCACACCTCCTGTCACGGAGCTCATCATCTTCCTGGGGAAGACGCAGTAACTGCACAGTAACAGGAACAAGTGTACAGTCACAAACTGCTCTGAATGCTGTGAAGGAATGGTGCTCAAGGCCAGGAGGCGGCATCCCCTATGAGACTGGGAAGATCCAGGAGTCTGGTTAAGTTCTGAGGCAACTGACCACTCCACACTTCTGGGGGTGCCGAACCTCCTTTTGGGAAACTAAATGGTTTATGCATTTATTCCTAGGAATTGTTCTATGAGTGTGGCAGAGCCACATCTAGAGATCTTCTCTGACCATCCAGTCTCATTGTCCCTCTACTTAGACACCATGTCTCCCCATTTGTAACAAAATTAAGTACAAATTCCCCTATGTAATATCTAAAATCTAGCATGACACAGCCCCTACCGTTCCAGAGCTTGAGCACCAGGGACTCTCTCCCAGGTATCTTGTGGTTTGGGGGGGTTTTTTGTTTGTATCAAATTAATATGAGGTACAAATGTTTAGATTCCATTGTTCTCTCTTCCAGGGTGAAGTTCCAGTTGTAAGAGAGCCCCTCACTCAGGGGGCTTGTTAGGCCTCACCCCTCTCCCCCTCACCCCCTCCTTCCCCTACCCTTGCATTACACTCTATTTGTTTTTAATTGTTCATATGAGCACTGGGTATCTGTGTTTAAGTGAACTGGGTCCCCTGTCCTTCTGAGCTTCTGCACCTTTGCCAGGCTCGCTCCTTACTAGGCTCCTGATTTCCCCTTCCTTCTTTGCATCTCAAGTCCTCCCCTATGGTTCCCACTTCTGCCTGCTTTTCTTTACACACAGAAGTTATAGGAAGTGAGACAAGGGAATCCAAATTGGGCTTCTCCAGCCCTGCAGATTTTTCAGACCAAGGCCACAACCAAGCCAACAGGCTCCTGGCTGTGGGCTCCTTGACATGGCAAAGGCAGTGGTCATGGTTCTGTCCCCATCCCCATCGTCCAGGACTGCCTTGTGTGGCAGCCTCCTCTCAAGAGCTCGGACAGGGAGTGGGCATAAGCCTGCCCTGCCCTCAGCCTTCCTTTCAGTCTGCTGAAGATGCCTTCCCTGTCGGAGACTCTGGTCCATAGAGGAAGGCTGCTTGTGCTCACTTGCTCGTTTTCTCTACTTCTGTGTTTCTCCTTCTACTCTTTTTAGGGGAAGAGTGAACTCTGGCTCTGGCTTTCTCTTCTTAAATAGAGAACATTATTCATTTTTCTAATTTTCATTCCTTCATAATATTGTTGAACACTGGCAGAAGGAGCATCCTTTCTCCACCATGTAAATATATACACATAACCTGAGTCTCCCAGGAATGGGTGCGACATAGGTGTCACAGGACAACTAGGAACTGGAGATTAATAGGAACAAAAGGTTTCATTTTAATCAGAGGGATATTAAAGTATTTAGCAACTCATGTGCCTTTGGTAATGGCTTCTCAGAACCAATGCCAGCCATAAACAGGTGATATGGTCAGACAGGTGACTATCATACCGACTAAAGTCTTCCCTTGTTCTAGTATCCCCCAAATGTAATCCCCGTTAAGTGAGGTTGGTTTCTGAAGGCATCTTGGAACTTCTGAAAGCCTGTCCAGAGAGATGGTGTGAAGGGAACCAGACAGCCTTCTGTGTTGCTCCCTTGGTGCTGTCCATCCCCAGGGCTGGCCTGCCTGCTACAACAGCCCCCTGGGCAGCAGATAGCCAGGAGGAAGGACAATTATTAAGTTTCAGGGATGTTTCTGAGTTAAGACTGTATCTTTTCAAGACAGACAGATATCTGATTACTCCCAGACACCCTTCTTTATTCCCTCTGGACTATTTCTTCTCCTTCTCTGTAAGTCAAGTTTATACAAACACCTTGGCCACACTGAGTCTGATAGCTCACGCTCTAAATTATGTCCTTAGGTGATTAGGAAGAAATTCTCGACAGATGGATCTGAAATTGTGCTGCTGACTGACGGGGAGGACTCCACCATAAGCGGGTGCTTTAATGAGGTGAAGCAAAGCGGGGCCATTATCCACACTGTGGCCCTGGGACCCTCTGCTGCTCAGGAACTAGAGGAACTGTCCAAAATGACAGGTGAGGGGTGATCTGCTGAGACCCCTGAACGACCTGCCTCTCCTAGTGAACTTCAGAGTGGGAGAAAGGGGGCTGGGGAGAGATGAGGGTGATCTTATTGGCCAACTAGCTTCCCTTACTCCAAAATGGCCATTAAAATTGACTCTACCCATCTGTTTTAAGGCTTTGGAGTTAGTATCAGGGCAGTCTGGAGAAGGGGGGACTAGCACAGCACCATAGTGAGGAGTCGGGATCCTCTTCACAGGCACCTTAAAAGGACTGTAAATCTAATACATTAACCAGAACCACTCAATTCCAGTTGGCAGTTGGCCTAGAGACCCAGGGTTACAGACAACAAGACACTAAGTCCCTAATTCCAAGATATAAGTGCTGTATTAGTAATAGATAGGACAAGGAGGAAGGACGCCTGTAACTTTACCTGGAGAAGAAGGGTCCAAGAAGGAGGGAAGGAGTAGTAGGGGAAGGCGAGGGGCCTAGTGGACAATGAAAAAGGTCCCTCCCAAAATAGAATACAGTGTGGCTTCTTCTCCATAAAAAAATTAATGTATTTCAGGTCTATCTCCTACACACAGACAGATAGCTAAAATAGATCCCTTAGGTCCCTAGCTTCTTTAGCAGAGTAGATGACCACATTTTTTTCTTTTTTTAATTTTTTTCCAGCTTTTTTGGTGGGCTGGGTTTGAACCTGCCACCTCTGGTACATGAGGCTGGAGCCCCACTCCTTGAGCCACAGGTGCCTCCCTACATTTTTTTCTTTCTTTACTCAGGGACAATGTTCTGGGTATCAATTGTATGCACTGAGTTGCCTTCTGATGCAGCTGAAATGACAGGACTCTGCCCCACCCATCCTAGTACTCACTACCTATCCTATGCTGGGTTTCCGAGAAGCAGAGCCTGAGACGGGGATTTGAGTGTCTGTGATTTACAAGTGGAGAGCTCTCAGGAGAAAAGGAAAGAGATAAAAACAAGGCAAGGGAAGGAGCTAAGCACTCATGCTGATCCCACAGGGCACTCTGGAGTGAGGATTGCATAACAGACTTAGTCCCACCTTAAGCAGGAGGGCTGGCCTTTTGCACCACTGTGGCCATCCATCATCGACTGTGAACTGTCGTGGAGGGGCAGAGATGAGGGGAATTTTATTTCTCTAGGTAGCTGGGCCTTTTTTGATAAGATCATTCTCTGGAAAAGAAGGCAGCTATGAGCCATTAGCAGCCAATGCTTAGAGCAACTGGAAAGAGATGTACTCTCCTCCGTAAGGGGATGTGGGTGGGGCATCAACTACCTTACTGAAATCTTTCCTTAACTTTGGATGGAATTTTAATAGTTTAAAAGTACTTTCAGGGCAGCACCTGTGGCTCAAAGGAGTGGGGCGCCAGCCCCATATGCCGGAGGTGGCGGGTTCAAACCCAGCCCCAGCCAAAAACTGCAAAAAAAAAAAAAAAAAGTACTTTCACATCAACCCTCCCAGTTACGCCTTATTCTAAATAGCCCAAGACTCCCAGGCCTAGCGTATAATCTCATTTTTACTGTATATTATTCCATTCTATTACTGTCCCTTTGTCTGCTGTTGTTTCTCATTGTTATCACATATGCATCTTTCTTGAGTTAGAAGAAAACCCTAAAGCCAAGTGTGTCAGAAATTATGTTTCAAATAATAGTAAGTCAATAGACTTGGCATAAGACTTGACAGATTCTTTTATATGAAGTGACCTTTAAAGGTAGATTTTATGATATGAATTACGTCCTGTGAGAGGTTCATGGCTGCTTTGCAAAGAGTTGAAGGAGCCAAAGCTTTAGGCTTTGTGCTAAAGCTATTATTTGCTAGGATTAGAAAATTAGTATCAATTTCTGAGTTAATCTGGGCACCTGTTTGACATTGATTCAATTATACTTTAATAACACAGTGGGGCTGGCTACATGTGGTAGCTCACACCTGAAATCCCAGCACTTTGGGAGGACAAGGCAAGAGGATCACTTGAGGCCAGGAGTTTGAGGTTGCTGTGAGCTGTGACCATGTTACTATACTCAGCCTCAGGGACAGAGCAAGATCTTGTCTCTCAAATATTAATAATAATAATAAAATTGAGTATTTATTTTGTGTATTCTCCTATCTTAACAACTAAAATGTTCCAAATACTTGCTTTCCAGAAACTAACTTCTGATAATGTAACTGCATTTTAGGAGGTGTACAGACATATGCTTCAGATCAAGCTCAGAACAATGGCCTCATTGATGCTTTTGGGGCACTTTCCTCAGGAAATGGAGCTCCCACTCAGAAGTCCATCCAGGTTGGAGTTCTTATTCTTTGGTTTTTCATGTTTTTACAAAATCATAGTCAAGATAGAGACTTTAATGGTTAAAAGTTTTAAGTTTTTACACTCTTCTAGTGGTAAATTAAAATTAAAAGAGAAGGTTCAGCTTGATATTAGACATTATTCCTAAAATACTCATTTAAACAAGCCCATTAGTGTTACTCGTTTGTGAAAAATTACTAAGTGACTTCTTCATAGAAACTATAATCACAAAATATAATGGGTCCAAGAATTCTTTTTTAACATCTGTTAAGAAGCACCCACAGCAATTTAATTGGCTCAGATTTTTCTTCAGAGTAGATCATCTCAATTACAAATTTTCTAGAATAAGTGTTCTAAGGATTACTTGCTCTAATTTTCCATTACCTCAAATCCCTGATATTTGCCAAGATTTTCGTATAATGGATAGGAAGTGCTTTGTACTGTGAAAAGCTGGTGGTGTCAGTCCAGATCCTTGGATCTTGGTCCTGGATCTGCCATTAACTCTGTGCCCATGGGCATAAAACTTCACCTCTTAGCTTCTCCACCAATTATAAACCAGAAAACCTCAATGGGCCCATTTGAAGAAAGCCACATGGCCTTTCAAAAGTCTTAGGACTACTTTTTTTTTTTAAAGGACAAATGTATTTTAAAATGCTCTTTTCTAGTAGTTGCAGAAATTACATGATATGTTCTGCTGAATGAATAAACAATCACCGCCATTCACACCAGTGTGAATTCTTACTTTTATTATGACAGTTTGGATAAAGGTAAAACAATTTTGTAATGTCAAAAGCCTAACAATGACATGTTTCGGAAACAGATTTCAGGTCTACAGGTGTAGCATTTATTCCATAAAACGAGATAGCAGTTTATATCCACGCGGGTCATTCTAGTTCAGATTTAGAAAATTAACCTCAAGGACCTGGTTTGGAAAAGAGAGGAATGTCTTAGAAAAGTAATTAAACTGGTAAATGGACAAGTTCACAGGCAATTTCTGCCCATTATTTTTGTATTTAAGAACCGAACAGGAAGAGAGATGGAGAAATGAACAGAGCTCATTTTTGAACCTGCCATAAGAACCAGATCTAACAGCCCTTCCCTTTCTCTATACCTAAGATCATAATCTACCTGTGAAACTGGAAAATCTGGCTCCATGAGGCCACCTACCTCCTGATAGGTGCCAACCCAGAGACAATTAGTAACGATCTGGAGGATAATTCTGAAAAATCACATTTCCCACAGAAAGCCTTGTTAATCCTTCCCCACCTTGGCAACTCCTTCATTCTATTCCATACAACAAACTGGCCTTGCCATCAGCTTATTTCGTTCATCTCCAGAGAGACTGCCATAAAGGTGCATTTGATTATACACCTTAAGGTTGTACAGTCTAGTGAATGAGATGAGCTGTACGTAAGTCATTACAGTGTAAAGTAAAGTACAATGTGATGGGCATCAAATGACTGGCAGAAATGAAATCCTACAGTTCACAGGAAGATTACTTACAGCCAATAAGTGAAATGGACATCAGAGAAAGCTTTATGGAGAAATTGATATTTGAACTAAATTTTGAAAGATGAGTAAGGCTTAGACACATTGAGAAGATTTAGAAGACTTTGAAAGCTTAGATAAATGGCGGAAATAAATGTAAAAACTTCTAGGAAACATAGAAGGTCAGGGATTCCCATGAATAATTCGGGGATCAGGCACAGTGGTTCACGCCTGTAATCCTAGCACTCTGGGAAGCCAAGGCAAGTGGATTGCTTGAGTCTGAGGCCACCCTGAGCAAAAGCTGGACCCCATTTCTACTAAAAACAGAAAAACTAGTCAGGCATTGTAACAAGTGCCCACAGTCCAAGCTACTCAGAAGGCTGAGGCAAGAGGATTGCTTAAACCCAAGAGTTTGAGCTTGCTGTGAGCTATAATGACACCACAGCACTCTATCCAGGATGACAGAGTGAGACTCTGTCTCAAAAAAAAAAAAAATTAAAAACATAATAATAATTTGGGGAAGTGGTCTTATTTGGGTGGGGTGGGGTGGAGGAAGGAAGGCTAAGGCTGGAAAGGTAATTTGGTGCTGGATCACAATAGGTCCTAGACACCAAATCAAGAACTCAGGCATTACTGAAGGTGTCTCAATGGGGCACTTGAGAGCCAGGAGTGGAAGGAGAAGACCATGTGATGTGAGCTTTATTCTACAGAAAGTGAAGAGTTGTTTTTCTTAACAGCTGGAGAGTAAGGGATTAACCCTCCAGAACGGTCAGTGGATGAATGGCACGGTGATTGTGGACAGCACGGTGGGAAAGGACACTTTGTTTCTTGTCACCTGGACAAAACAGCCTCCCCAAATCCTTCTCTGGGATCCCAGTGGAAAGAAACAAGATGGCTTTGTAGTGGACACAAACACCAAAATGACCTACCTCCAAATCCCAGGCATTGCCAAGGTATGGAGTTAGCTTTGTTTCCTTTTTGCAATTTGACAAGATAAAATAAAGTTTCTACAGAGTAACTGTAGCTTTTAAAATGCTGCAAGTTGCTAAAAGGAGAGTAAGTATTAAATCAAAGGAAGAGCATGGAAAAATCTCTATCTGATGAAAATCATTCATTATGCCAACAAGTCAAGAGAAAGGAAATAGGTGATATTTTGTCCAGGTACCAAATGAAAAACCTTCAAATTACATCACAGTCAACATGTAAAATGATCCTTGACGCTTCAGGGTCCTAAGAACTATTTCCTCTACCTCAGGAATCCATCTTTCGAAAAAGCAAGGTTTTTTAGAGAGAACATGTCTGCTTGTGGAGATGCAAGTAACATTATTAGAATGAATTCTATACATGATTTCCTACCTATATCTACCCTAAGCAGAAGTCATGAATTTTATAAAATAATCATATCATATGTTTTCCTCATAGTCATACACAACAATTGAATTCACTTCAATAGATACGTATTGAGTACCTTGTGCTATGTTGGGTGTAGCAGAGATCCGATATGATCGCATATTTCAAAAAGAAAGACAATTCAAAAGACTTAAAACTACATACATGTACACACACACACACACACACAGTGGAAAAAGAAGAAGTAAGCCACATCATTAACATACACAACCCTTAAGGTCTCTTGACAATAAGGGCACAGCTTTCAGCACACATACCCCCTACCAGAAGGATTTTCTTGATGATGGGAATCATGTAGTTACTCCAAATGCATCCAAGTTCTCCTTGGCTGACAGAGTATCAAAATGCCCACATCTTTGTAGACAAGCTTACAACATGCTTATATCAGATAAGCTTATCCTATATGTGACACTGACATCAGTTCTGGGTCACCTAATAATATTAATTGGGAATGTCTCCACTTGTTTTGGCCAGGTTGGTGCTTGGAAATATAGTCTGCAAGCAAGCTCACAAACTCTGACTCTGACTGTCACCTCTCGTGCTTCAAGTGCCACCTTGCCTCCAATTACAGTGACTTCCAAAATGAACAAGGACACAGGCAAATTCCCCAGCCCTATGATAGTGTATGCAAATATTCACCAAGGCAACTTACCAATTCTCAGGGCCAGTGTTACAGCCCTGATTGAATCAGCAAATGGAAAGACAGTTACCTTGGAATTACTGGACAATGGAGCAGGTATTCACCAAAAAAACTGGAAAATGTATCTTTCTTTTTCCAAGAAGCATCCAGAGAAAAAAAAGCATGGTCTAGTGAAGGCAGTTAAAAGCAGGGTGCCCAGAACTGGGGAGTTCTCCTTGGGAGAGTTTTCCCTTATCCTCACAATTCCTTTATTTAAAAATGTTGATCAAGGAGGCTTCTGCAAAGCTCAAAATGCATTAGTGGCTCAACCTCAACAGGTGCAGAGTCTCTGGGGCAGGGTTTTTCACCCTTTTCCATCTTACAGCACACTTGACCTATAGTTAAACTTCTACAGCACACTTAAATTACATTGATTTAAAAAAAGAGTTTAAAAAAAAAGAGAGAATGTAATTACTGTGCTTTGAACTTCTTTCAAAAACAATTTAATTAATGATCTTTAAAAAATTTCATGGTACACCTAAGATCCTGTCCTGGCATACCATAGCACACTGGTTGAAAATCACTGCTCTAGGCTCAGCGCCTGTGGCTCAAGTGGCTAAGGCGCCAGCCACATACACCTAAGGTGGCGGGTTCGAATCCCCAGCCCGGGCCC